TTAAACACGACTGAGAGGCAGTGGATGGGTCTATGGAGACGGTTCATACTGATTCATGTGCACGTTTTAGTTTTTTAGCGCTTAATGTGCACTCATGTGCACGTGTGATATATTAATTAGCGTGGCACGTGTTTGCATACTTTTTTCGCGACAGCAGATGTCCCAGAATACTCTACATCGACTTCTATACAGCATTCCCAGAACCAAATCTATGAGCTGTAGCTTAACACACAGATACTGTTTACTTAAATTGGCGAAGAATAAGTGGAAACTCTAAAGTCACACTACTTCGAGATTTGTAGCGCAAAACTAATATAGCTACTAGTAAAGCTGTAGGTCAACATCATTTCACGATTTCGGTGCGAAACATGCACTGAAGTGTCCATACACGACAAATTTAATTGCCTCGAGCATATACACCACATTGCATCATACATGCATATTAACTTGTCACTGATAACAGCCATATTATTATATCATACACATGCCTATTCCTTGAAAGAGAACATATAGAGACATGGCATATATGATTCAGACGTGAGTCTATGGCAATAAAGCTCGCAGCTTGAGCGCTCTCTTTTATATTCTCACGGACATATTGCGAGAAGCAGTAGCAAGTCCGTGCACAAGGGTTTCAGTAACTAGCGTATCTTGTAGTCTGGAACTTGGCAGTCAGCCTGTGATCATAGTCAAACACTCCCGTGCCATCGCGCGGTAGCACTTCACTAGACATGACGTGCCAATAAGTAACACAAGTATACCTGAACACTCCATTCATCACTGTTGCATTGGTTTATGTGCACACTTACAGAGAGGCGTTGTGCAACAACGCAGCGAGATGTCTGTGGATGGGATGGTGATGTATCCGCAAACCGCCACAGATGAGAGTGACACGGATCTGGATGACGCTGACACCAAGTCGGGTACAGGCAGTGACAACGGCGTGGTCTTGGCAACCAGGCAGGCGCACGCCAAAGTGTACAACAACTGCAAGCTGTCGAGCAGCATCCCGCCGGTCGGAAGCTGCATCCAGAAGATCACCGTCTACGAAACTAAATCGGTGAGTGAATACTTGCACTGAAACGGTGTATCTGGGGAAGATAACCGTCTACAAAAGTAATTCGATTAACGAATGTTCTGTAGTTCAGTGTTTCTGGATAAAATTAGCGTGAATGGAAACTCTGTGTTCGATGGTCTAAAGTCAGAAGAAAGCCGTTCACGAAGCTAAACAGTTTTGTGTATGATCGGTATTTGATGGTACGAATGAGTCAGTCGGTGTGTGTATGTACTGCATTAGTCGTTGTATAGACAAGTGCATCGTCTACGCCACCAAAACGGTGTGTAGGTGTACTGCCCCTGGACTCAAGTGGGTCTTGAGATGTTTACCGTTTACGTAATTGGTTTGGCGCGTAGATGTCTTGTGCCCAAGCGAGTACTGAGGTGATTGTCGTCGAGCGATTCGACCAGTTACCCAATGAACTGAAATAAAAAACGTATTGAGAAGATCATCGTTTTCGTTACTGAAGTGGTTTGTCAGTGCGCTGCACGTTTGTGTATGGTGAGATATTCACCGTCTACGACGGACAATCCTTGAGTGGAATTCTGTACTTGAGAGTGTGTACTACTATTAGAAGTTTGCCGTTTACGAAACCGCGTCTTTGGGTGGCAATTCCGATTCCGCGAGTGTGATATGTCTTGTACTGAGGTTTATCTCAGGTGATCCAATGATTCAATAAACCTTTGTAGGGACAGGATGACAGTATAGGTTACAGTCCTGCCAAAGATGTATGACTTCAAGTTAGTAGTGCCACGTGTAGCTACAGATGAATCTCCGCTTTAGCTTCTCACTCTATTCTTGTTGTACCGGATGTGTTAGTATATAGTAAGGTTTCCCTCGGTATGCACTATGGCAATAGCCTGTCACCTGTAGCTAAATACATATCGCTTGCGTTGACCACCACAGATGCTCGTACTGGTAGCCAGAGAACCGAATCTGTTCCGAATCCTGCGCATTCTTCGTGCAAACCCGCAGCAACTGTCCATCATCGATGACAAGGTATGTTGCATAATTTCATGTCTACGGACACGCTCTGAAGAATTTCACATGCTTTCTGTCGAGTTGTACTAACGAATTGAGATGTACACACACACAATCACAAGAAAAATAATACACACACAAGCACACACACACACACACACATACGCACACAGAGATATACACAAACACACACACACACATTTACTTGCGCGTGGTCACATACACACTTACGCAACCTGTGCACATTTGCTCAGCCCATTTGATGACTTGTGCCTAATTCGATTCAATTGCAGATCGCATACACAGCGGAAGAAATCGACGAGATGATACAGCGGTACAACAACGAAGCTCCAGAGGGCATTCGAAAGAAGGTCTGAGCCTGTGCGCACTCGCGTAGGTCTAGGCAGTGCACATATACTTCAAATGAATACATAAGCAGTTAGTGTTTCCATAACAAATCACAAATATGTGGATGCATAACCAATC